AAAAACTTAAAACTATATCCTTTATTTAAGAAATAAAGTCCGCGTTATCGTGAATGTTGCAGGATAACCTCCGAGGTCGAGAAATGTTGTCTGAAATATAAAAGCCGAGGCGTTAGCCGAGGCTTTTATATTTCAGACAACATTTCGAGACCGAGGAGGTTATCCTGCATCATTCACGACAATAAGGACTTTATTTCTATTCTACTAACGGCTCTAAAATACAGTTGATCGTTTTCTCTATAGAGAAACGAATTAGGTCACCATGTCGCAATTTCGCTGTTCCATTTAACACCAGAGGGTCAATCGATTGCATAAAATGCAGACGATTTCAGCTTTTGCTGGATTAAAAATATCCTTTAATTATTTATAAATTTGCTTGTAACATATATTGATTAATTTTTATGAATGAAAAATAACAAAACCAGTTGTCTATTTCATTGATTTATCAGTAAAATCACGGGAGTGTAAATGTTATGGGGAGGTCCGTAGAACAGCCCCACTTGGCTATAAAAACGATATTTATCAGCTGTTTCAGGCAATACACACGTTTAGACTGCGGAAGACGACACATCGATATGGTCTAAATAAGTATTAGATTATACAGTGAAATATTTATTTCAACTGTACAGATTTGACATATGTTTCTGATCTGATAATTTTTTGATGACGTTCGTGATTTATTGGAGAATAATGTCCGCGGCATTTCTTTGATCTCGGCAATAATCGTAGTAGAATTCAGCGTAATCATGGTAATAAACATCGTATATTTTATATCTACGGAGATCTGGGTCAGATTCATGTATATCAACTTCAGAAGTTGGCTTAATTTTTTTTTCAATCAAGTTACGAAACATTAACAGTTATAATTAAGTACCCCTTTAAAAATAAAGCTACCTAAAGGGGTATCTTGATACGGATTTATAGGAAGATAATTATCCTAATTGGCAGTTCACACCTTCACATGCGATGGTTTGTGTACACTAGTTACATAATTATCAGAAGGTCAAGTGTCAAACACAGGTGACGTTTCCAGTGTCTCGCAAGCGAGAATGAGAGGGAAATGGCGGCATTTAGCGAGAAATTCAAAATACTGTACAAATTTTCATATTCCGTGAATTTTGGTGTCCCGCCGGTACACGATGAATGGGCTCGAAAAAACTGTACATTTTGCGTACCGCCTGTACATATCACATGTATGTATTAAATAAGATAATAGTTCTGACAAGTTTGTTCTTCGAGTGGACAAACAAGATATTTATGTGGACAAATAAGTTTTTCCTTTGGACAAATTAAAGGTAGATTAAAATGTTTTGATAAGAATTGTTCGGACGAACTGGATATTTGCTTGAACAACTTAGCGAATTACATATTTCGAACAGATTTGATGTTTCCACAAGATTTACCATTCTTCTGATAAAGGAAAACATCCAGCGAATCAAAAATGATACAAGTATAAAGCACACGGATTAATTGAACTTTGGGCGAGATATGGATATCTGCATGATCAAGTTTTTTATTGACTCCATTCCTTTGCGGTTTCTGGGGTTTATGGAACTTTTACTTGTAGTTTATGTTAAAATTGCTGGCCTCCACGTTTGTTTGCCATATACAATGGATAGTTAATTAATGTTGTTCTTTCGGTTTTAATGAAAATGTATCAAAAGTATCTAAAAATCACACAATTCTTCTTTTTAAATGGTAAGATACTTTTGTTATATGGCCGAAAATTACATATATATACACTGTTAAAATCATTGACTTAAAAATACATGCACTTAAACGCAATTTGATTAAACGGTAGATAGATAATATAAACAATTCTCTCTCTCTCTGTGTGTGTGTGTGTGTGTGTGTGTGTGTGTGTGTGTGTGGAATATAGGAGTTTTTAAAAAAAATCTTCTTAAAAACACTGATACATTTGTCAAATCAAAATGGAAACATGTCCACTTAGTGTAGATTGAAGTCGATGAATATGTCAATATATCATAAAAGACAGATCATTCTATTCGAAAGATTTAATGAGACCAACACATCATCCCTGCATCCTCATTTTACGTATCCCTCAGATAAGCATTTTCGTCCAAGGGCCTTTTGATTTATTATTCTTAGTCTTTTTAACCAAAAAGAAAAATATATATTTATCCCTACCAAAATCTACAAGTGGTCTTTATTCTACGGGCGTCATTTTTCGTTATGTAGGGTATGCAGTTTTAAGGGTGATGCCACTTTTTCTACAGCCAAAAGAGTCATTTTTCGACGTCGAATGATTACCAGGGGTCATTTTTCGATGTTGAAAAATGACCCCCAGTCATTATTCTACAGGGGTCATTATTCGTCTTTACACCGGGTAAATAAAAGAGCACAATCAGGGCCCATCGAAATTCCAACAGATTGCTGGAAAACCTCCAAAGACTACATAGATACTCCAGCAACCTTTAAAATCAACCTCGGAGTACTTCTGTGTAGATTCAGAATGATTTTTAACAAAGCAATTTTGTGGACGACTAATCACAAGATATAAAAATTTCCGAATTCCTTTTTTATATTGAAGAAGCAGATGTCTATGATATACAAGAGCCTAGTCTTTAATTTATCGTGAGGAATGATTGTATGAAGTGAAGAAAATGTCATACGTTTTGATGTTAGCGGCTTTGAAAAAAATTGTGATTTTCTAAAAGTTCTTTGGAGTTTTTGTGAATCCACATTTGATTGACACCACTAGCTTCTAGAATATGCTGTAGAACAATACGACTGCATGACGTGTCTTCTTCACAGCAGTTAATATCTTTGTGAGGAGTAAGGATAGGGGCCTGGTAAAGCATTTGCTGGACCCGGCAATGTATCTTTGTAAGGATTATTATGACGTTTAGGAATCCAGTATAGGTATAGGGTCAATCGAACTCATTTTCGTTGACTGAAATGTTGAAAGTATTAAAGACTGATATGTGAATTTGAAAAATTTCATCCTTAAAAAGTGAATTGTATTTAGTTTTCCGGCTGTAGAATTAAAACAAAGTTCTTCTAATATAAAAAAATATATAATAATGAACCTTACAGGCAAAGACAATATTGTTACAAGCCTTGTCAGCTAGAGCCAAAACATATTGATCATGTATTTTATCACTACCGATTTAGAGAAAACGGAAGGAGAGATGTTTGCATTTCACCTTTTAACTTTCTAACACGTTTAATAAAATAAATTTCTATAGCATTTAATCCATTCTGACCATAGGCGTCGGAAGGGGGGGCTTAGCCCCCCCTTTTTTTTGCAAAGAGAGACATAATATAGGCATTGAAAATTGGGGCTTACCTTTTTTTTCGTTGTTTTAGCCCCCCCCCCCCCCACTTTCAATTAGCCACCCCACTTTCAATTTGCTTCCGACGCCTATGCTGACAATATATCTAGGTCAAAGTAGATGGAACATGCATCAGAGGACACTTTCATTTGGTAAAGTTACCTCTAAGGAAAGAACACACCTTTGCAAACAAATTATCTGTAGCGATCTTTAAAATGACATAGGAAATGAAATAACTTTAAAGATATTGTATTAATGTGGTATTTTACCCGTAATTATCACCTCGTTAGTGATAACTTGCTTAGCCTTAGGTGATAATGAACTCGGTAAATTCTAATCACAAAATTTAGTCCATTTTGCATTGATTACCAAATACAGGCAATGAAATGTTTCTTCAATTATCATATAGACAGGGGTAGAGATCGTTATTTTACGGTGTGTACATAATCTTCCTACTTGTTTTCAATTCATTTTTATCAAAATCACATTTTTTTCACATTTGTGCAGCAAACTGATGAATCTAAAAAAAAGTTTTGTGTGTGTGTATGATTATAAGGAATAGTGGTTCAGTTTTGAAATTGATCACGAAAATGCTGCGAATATTTGTGCCAGAGTAAAATTTCAAAAGACGAAAAACCTTAGCTGTTATCTAACACCCCCCCCCCCCCCGAAAAAAAAATAAAAATTGAAAGTTTATGTTTTCACCTACTTCGTCCGTATGTTCGAGTTTACGAGATGTTTTTTCGGTCTTTTTGGTAAGGGTTTTTAAAGCATTTTTTTAATTTCTGGAATTTTTAAGGAGGAGCTTTCTAAGATTTAGATTCATTGCTCAATCGCCGGAATGCCTTTCTTTCTTGTCTAATCTCTTTCTGATTCATGTTTGAATTTTTGTTTAATGCGCAGCCATTTACGCCTATCAGTGGGAAATACTATTTTTACAAAAACATAAATATAATTCTGCTGCTTTTGAAAAATACACTAGACGCCTACTCAGATATAGATCATGCCGCTGGATGCGACATCCGCCTCTTTTGGAAGCAAGCAGAGTCCACGTCGTGACAGAATTTATCCCGAGATAATCTATAAGGGCGTCACCGCAACCGATTCTGAATCAGTGGCCAATATTTTTGCTACTTACTACAATGACATAGGCCTATATACACCAAAAAATGAAATGAACTTTACCGAACAACACAAAGTTGAAGTAGACTTAGCTTACAACAAAATAAAGAAACAAAATCTAAATTACTTTCTCTAACCAGAAGAAATTACTCAGGCAGTAGTCGCTCAAGCTACAGCCTCTCTAAAACTACGTAAGGCTCCTGGAATAGACAAAGTCCAAGCCGAACATCCGAAATATATGAGGCGCCGTTTTGGTATTTACTGCCAAAAAGTGATATCACCTATTCGAATAAGTGATATCACCTATTCGAATAGGTGATATCACCTATTCGAATAGGTGATATCACTCATTCAAATTGAATAGGTGATATCACCTATTCGGATAGGTGATATCACCTATTCGAATAGGTGATATCACTTATTCGAATAGGTGATATCACTTATTCGAATAGGTGATATCACCTATTCGAAATGAATTGGTGATATCACCTGTTCGAATAGGTGATATCACCTATTCGTGCTGAATAGGTGATATCACCTATTCGAATAAGTGATATCACCTATTCGAATAAGTGATATCACCTATTCAATTTGAATGAGTGATATCACCTATTCGAATAGGTGATATCACCTATTCGCATTTCTTACAACAACAAATAATGAATGCTCCCTTCCTCAAGATTATCTAGATTTTCATTGGAACCAAGCAAATTCGGGCTGCGTTAGGGTCTGTAAGTCTCGTCATGTGACTCGCGAGATTTTTCGATAATATTAACTTCCAGGTACCTCACACATGGAGATGTGTATTGGGTCATGCATGTTTATGGTTTACACAAAGCGTATAAGGAAAGTTTAAGCAGTTGTACAAAGCCGGAGGGTTCTCCGACTTACGATGGATAAATTGAGGGTCGTAAAAGCTTGGGTGCGAGCAAGTAGGAGGAGAATTTCGATCGAAGTACAGGTAAACAAGTCAGAGAATGTCACCTGCTTGGGTATTCTTGAGTGAAATAGAAGTCTTATATTATACATTTGTATCTGATAAGAATAGTTTTGTTATCATCATTCCAACTAATTTATTAACAGATTTTTCTTGAATTCGAGGATAATGATGTTATTACCAGCTGATTAAGGAGGAGTAGTGTAAGTGTCAGATGGGTACGAACGTCATCTTGTGACAGCATCACCTTTGTTTGGGTAAATGATTTGTTCAGAATACGCTTCATTTATCAACAAAAATTTAGCTGTTGCATGTCAGTAGGTCTAGTTTTTTAAGTATTCAATGTTTGAAAGCACTTATCAGGTCCAGTACAATCTTTTGATTTAGCTATATATATAGCTTTATTAAGCTGTTCAGAATAGCTTAATTTAGCTATTTTATCACACTTTTTCTTAAATGTTTACTTTTCTCAGCATGCACAAAAAGTCGCACCTTGGTGCAGTGATGATACTCAACCTTGAACTCATCTGAAATTGATGCATTTAAAACTCACTCATTAAAATCTCCTTGCATACATGTGATAATTTTTAGGCCCAAATACTGTACAGCAGTCCTCAAAATACAGGAATTTGGGTGAAAATACTGTACACTGTTCATCAAAAAACTAAACAAAAAACTGTAAAAAAAATATTGACCAAAAGTCAATGTAAGAGGTTCATTTTTTAAGCTCTTCTGAGCCAAAGGCCCAAAGAGCTAATGCTATGGCCATTTGTGCGGTGTGCGTAAACTTTTTAGAATATGGGCCATAACTCAAGAACCCTTTGGCCAATTATTGTCAAATTTGTCACAGGGTATCCTTGGGCCAAGGGCTTCCGTTTATACTAAAACTAGGGTTGTGACCCTTAAACAAGGGGAGATAATTAGGAAAATAGAAACAAAAGAGACTTTGTACTCAAATTCTAAAAGTTTTTGGGCTACATATGCAATTGATACAGTTACTTCTTCAATGAATTTATAAAGGAGGCCAATTATGGTCAACAAGATAATTGATTAATTCTGTACATTCAATGAGAAGCAATCATACTTATCCATGCCTCAATGCACACAAGGTAGTGGACAGTTACTCAAATAATAGAAATTTATCTTTTGCTTAAAAGTAATCAAAAGTTGCAAAGTTGGAGCTATCTTTGATTTTGCTTGTTGTTTCGATAGCCCATAGCACATATATGAATAGTCAAATACATGCAAAACTGCATATAAATAGCTAAATCAAGCTATTTTGAATAGCTTAATAAAGCTAAATAGCTATTTCAAGCTATATAGCTAAATTAAGAGATTGTACTAGACGTGCTTATTTCCCAATCCCAACGATAAAACTTTCTTTATATATTCTGCAAATTCTCTCTGCATTTATCATTGAACAAAATTCACATGACTGCAATTATATGACCATATATTCTTCAGTTTAGAGAGCATGTTATAGAGGATATTTTGGTTAAAGTTTTGGTCTGTTTCATGCAGTGTTTGAAATATTCTTTCATCTTACACAATTGTATACATTAAGATTTATTTTATAGCTAAAGTACAAGAGAACTGCAGCATCTCAGACTACATGTACATCAACTTTGAATAATCTACCCGGTATATCCTCAAAAAGGCAACTCAAATACAGGTATGAAATTGATGTCACAAAATAAGTTTTTGGACTTACATTTACTCTTATAATTCATATACATATAAAGCATATAAAAAATAAAAATAGAAAAGAATTAAAGGTTCATCAGGTGACAGCTCAATCATGTATGGAATATTATTAGGCCAAATAAAAAAATATGTGTGGTTCCCTTTCGGCAATATTCAAATTTATTTTCCAGAATTTTCTGCGATTTCCGTCATCCACTTCGGTATTAGTTTTAGTTCCAGCAATGGCGGCCTCCATGCAAAAATCGTTTCAACACGTAGTGCAAGTGTTTGATGGTGTTAAATCTAAAGCAAGCTAGCATGGCGTGGCAGTATACCTTTTTCCAGCGCCATGTTTTTTTGTTTGTTTGTTTTTTGGTTGCCAAAATTAAATAAATATGCCCAAGAGTGGCGAGATTCAGTTAGTTGCTCTGTTTACAGCTGGTTTATAACAAGTGCATGCTGATTAGCCCCTTTATTATTTAATGCACGCAAAGGTGTGAAGTCAGGATAGGAAATCACTTCTGGCTTGAAAGCACACAGACAGCTGGCCAGATAACGTTTTTTGGAGTTAGGGGGAAGATAACATGAGAAAACATTTATTTGATTGCATTGATTACGCAAGAATTAGCCCAATGTGTAAGATAGATTAACTTGTAAACTATTAAATAATTTATATCAGGATCATTTCTTTTAAACCGAAAGTAGAAAAAAAAAACAGTTCATGAGGAAAAGTGAAAAAGAAGACTGCTGATTTTACATGAATAAAGTCAACTTGCAAAACACCAATATATATGAGAAATGAGCTTGGAAGTATGAAGTCTTCAATGAGGCAAAAAGGTTTCTTGAAAGGATTTAAAATTTTAATAATATTAAATATTTGTAATTCTGACAAATTTGAATGATTCTATGTCATCTTGCTTAGGTGATTTATTTTGTTTTAAACATTACTGTACAAAGTGTAGGTGTCACATTCTTTTCCTCCGACAGCTCTTAGCAGAACTTTCATGTCCGTTTTCTAGTTTATAGTTCAGAATTTATTATTAAGTAAAATAAGAACTGTTCTGGATAAAAGTAATTAATTAATTTCATTTATAAACACTGATTTTAAAAAAAGGATGTTCACTTTGGACTTTATTTTTTACAAAAAGAAAAGATTGTGTTTTCATTATTTTTGATTTAAAAATATTTGTTTCATATTCATAACTAGGGTGCCCCCTGCCAATGTTGACTAGTATATTTAACGCCACATCGAAATGCCACTTATTTTCTCCTTCACTCTGTTCATCCACAAATAAAACATTTCTTTTCTGAACCATAGTTGGAAAAGACTGAATTCAAAATAAACAAAACATTTATTAGTTATGAGTTATATACTCAGCTCTACACAAAATATTTCTGTTTTTTCGCATTCTATAATGTACAATTTTAGATTTTATATACCTGTATAAAGACTTCCGATAGAGAAATCATGATCTATATTTAAGATTTAATGTATAATGCTTAAGATATCCATTAATTTTACTTATAATATACAATTCTGAAATTAATAGCATCCTTTAAAAACAAGGATAGCACATATCATCTTCGTAAACACATAACATTCTAAAAAAAGAAAATATAATATCCAAATAACATTTAAATAATTCAATTTGCTCATGCTGATTTTCTTCAAACATTGTATTTTCTAGATGAGTATGAACTCGAATGAATAGAATCGGCAGACAACTGTTTAAATACCCAAGACATTTTATTCACACATTTAAGCACATATCTAATCCATATGCTTAAGAGAAAACATATCTAACACTCTACACATAAAATAGTTCACTTATGCTAACGAAAAGAAATAGGTATTATTTAGAAAAATTTAGAAAATTATTTTGTACAAAAAAAAAAAAAAAAAAAAAAAATCCCTACCTACCCTATTTTTTGGGAGGTGTAACTGGAACCACACATATTTTTTTGTTTGGCCTTAATGCTGAGTTTCCAAATGCAAAATTAAGGGTATTCGATATATTCCATACAAGTTGTCAATCATTTATTAGTGATTTATACAGAGGTTCATTTGCATATAAATGTTGATAACATTGTTTTACTGTCTTTATTAACTTGTAATACTAAATTTTATAAATTGACAAATTCATTCTTTTTAGAAAGTGCATATAATTTGGAAAAGAGACCATCAATCCACTGGGGGGTATCGCATGAAAGCAATGATTATAGAATATTGTAAGGCTGGAGGAGTTATAGTACAACAGGCAGGCAAGTAATGGTACTTTGTTCTGGAAATTTTTCGCCCCAGTTTTATTTTTCCAATTCTGCCCTCCTTACAAGTAGGTGAATTTAAAACAGGACAAATTCGAAGAAGGCAGCATATATCTTTTAAACACAAATGTGTCTGATCAAATTTGAAAAGGGCAAAATTGTTTTCAAGGGTGAAAGAGAGAATATTTTAAAAATTAGAATGGGGTGAAAATATCCAATAATACAGGTTATATGTATTAACACAGTACATATGCATTTCTCTTTTCTTTATAATGAAAATAATTTGTTCTGTAAAAGGACAAATTTTGTTCTGATTTGTATCAAATAAATAAATATGTGCCAGATTTATTATTTTGCAGGCACCTAAGTTACCATCAGTTGTGTGTCAAGCTGTGCAAAAATTCTATGTCATGTTACAGAATCTTTCTTAAATACAGGTATATGTCTGCTCATCTGGCAATCTTAGGACATCACTGGATGGTTTTGTTTAAAAAGATTACAGAGTTAACACACACTTCCAGCATGAAGACCAGCCAGTTGCCTCACCTGTCCTGACGTTGTTAAAGGTAAATGGTCCTTTCAGAAAAGGATCTGACAATGCAAAGGCTTGCTAATCAATTAAAGATTTCTATTTACTAATACGTAATTAATTTGAATTTCTGTAGCTTAAAAATTTAATGATATGAATTAAAAAAAAATATTTTAATCAAAATTATTTTTATTTCAGTACTTTGTGACAGTGAAAAGACATGGCTTTAAATTACTGTATCAGAGATCAATCCAGGTTATAAATCTGAGGAAAACAATAAAGCATCCACTTCGAGCTACTTATATCACTGCCTTAATAAGATGTCTGCATGTGTAACTAACAAAGGACAGTGACCAGTTGTAGCTATGATATCAGAGGGCATCCTGAAAAACACTCATAACTAAGAATAGAAAACTTCAAATGACTTTTGTATCAATCCTTTTGAATTTCATCTGGCTTGGAATTTCAGTAGCCTTTAGCATCCTTCAAGCATTTCATGAAGTACATGTACCAATTTGCAGGCATAAAATGTTTGAAACAGATTGCTTGTCCCAAATAAAAAAAAATAATTTCTCTGCCAATTAACAGTGTCATAAGCAGTTGATTGATATCACAGTTCCACTGGCATAGTATTTGTGGTTGAATGGTGCCATTTTTTAAGAAAACTTTTCACAAAAACCTGGAAAACATCAGATGGAAAGGAGCATCTACAAGAAAAACAGTTAACACTTTCTTGAATATTAACAATGATATATCATGCCCATTTACATCCTTTATATAAACTAATTAACCTAATCATAGAGAATTATGTACAAATTTGTCCTTTTGTGTATTTATAGTGTATTAAATTGATTTTACTAATTTATAAATATTTATGTTTTTCACAGTCATTAACATTTACAAATAGAAGTACATATAACATAAAAATATTACATGTTTAGTAGGATAACGTGAAATTGTTATACCACAAAAACCATCGCTGACCTCGCCTCGGTCAGCAATGGTGTTTAAGGGGTAAGAATTTTACATCACCCAAAATAAACAGGTAATATTTTTCTTGTCATAAAATGCATTTTAAAGAAAACATCAAGGTGAAACAAATGTGCAAACATTCTGCACAGTTAACATTTTTTATTACTGTATATACTGTTACCCGTAGTCATGCATTTTCAACCATTTGGGATGTAATGTTTGGCATACAGTATGGTAATAGTACTTGTTAACAAATGTTTTTTAAACCAATCAAATTTGACTATTTAACATGAAAGTGTATCATAACAAATTTATCTAGCATAATGGTGCTGTAAGTAACCATGGAATGTGAGCTTGTGTGAACTTGATCCTGAATTATTATGTTTTGAATATTGTAAAAGAAATGTGCAGCCAAAACTTTGACCTGTACCTGATTTAAATGGAGTTCCGTCATTAACAACTTGGAAGTTGGAAGTTGTCACACTCTTCACTGGGGGATCTGCTTCATTTGCAGATACATGGATAACACATTCACTCAAAGCACTGTCCCTTTTTCAGTACCTTGTGCAGCCCTGTAATATATAATGACAAATGGAGAAAAATGCCTATTTCAAGAAAAAAAGTCTGTCTCATAATTGTAGGAGTATTGGCAAGGGGGAGGGGGGGGGGGTCATGAAACTTGGCGGTTAATACAGTTTGTATGTGTATATGAAAAAATGCCTTCTTCTTTGTAGAATAAAAAATGATTATTTTTTGAGTGTGTGTGACCATTTTTATTTCCGAATAGACAGGGCAGCTTATAGCCTACAGAATGAGCTGACCATTTTTATTTATTGTAGTAATTAAAAAAAAAAAGAATGTGTTTTCTACGAAGATCATATGTTATAGACGTGGTATTCAACTTTGTATTCCCATGGTCGATGCATTTGGGTACATCTATTTTTTTATTTCCTTTCAATGACATCGCATTCAATATCCCAAACTCATGTATACCTGTCCAATACTCCAAATTATACCACTGTAAGCTAAGTCAATGCTTTAAATTTATGAAACCAATCTGTAGATAAGCGTACCTTTTGAATACAGACGATTTTAGCATAAAAACGATTTAAATTTCCCTTTCTGCTTAAGTATGTTGGCTAATCTTGGCCCCCTCGGAATAGCTTGTGTTTACGTTATGTAATGAAAAAATAAAGCAATGAAACGCTATTTACCTGCATCTATCAATCCACTTTCTCTTCCTCTTTGCAACAATCGGGGATCAAAACAAACTACATGTTTAATAATTCCACTGCGATGCTTACAACTTAAGTAATCCATTGTCTCCAAGAACGCTCAGGTACCCGGGAGTTATAAAACGAAAGTGAAAGTCAACGAGACTTACAGACCCTTTGAATTTTCCTATAGTATACATGATAGATAAGTGTAATAAATATAATTTGTGAGCAAAACAAACAACAAATTCTACTGGGGTGCTTAAAACTAAATGCGAAGCTGTAATCCATTGTCTGCAAGAATGGTAAGTTATAAAACGAAAGTGAAAGTAAATGAGAATTAAAGCTATAGTCTTGGGAGCAGTTGTTATTTCATAAATAATTTGAATAGGTGATATCACCTATTTGAATAAGTGATATCACCTATTCAAAATGATTAAGTGATATCACCTATTCGAATAAGTGATATCACCTATTCGAATAGGTGATATCACCTATTTGATTTGAATAGGTGATATCACCTATTCGAATAAGTGATATCACCTATTCAAAAGGAATAAGTGATATCACCTATTTGAATGGGTGATATCACCTATTCGAATAGGTGATATCACCTATTCGAATAAGTGATATCACCTATTCGAATAGGTGATATCACCTATTTGATTTGAATAGGTGATATCACCTATACGAATAGGTGATATCACTTATTCGAATAGGTGATATCACCTATTCGAATAGGTGATATCACCTATTCAGAAGCTGAATAGGTGATATCACTTATTCGAATAGGTGATATCACCAATTGAATAGGTGATATCACCTATTCGAATAGGTGATATCACTTTTTGGCAGTAAATACCAAAACAGCGCCTCATAGAAATACGGAGGAAACAGCGTCATAATACCAAGCGATTGGGATGCCCATCGTACCCATATATAAGGGTGATAATAAACCGAAACATTCTCCTGACAGTTACAGACCTGTGTCTCTTTTATCATGTCTTCTCGAAGTATTCGAAAAAATAATATACAATCGCATAAATGATAATGTACTGAGCAAAATGAAATTCCCTAATGCACGACAACAAGGATTTCAAAAGGAGCTAGGCTGTATCACAGCTGCATTTAACTTACAGGAAACAGTTCTGAACTACAACGACCACGTTTGTCTTTGTAGCATTCCTAGATTGCAAAAAAGCATATGAAACTGTGTGGAGAAACAATCTTTTGGTAAAACTCTATAAGTTAGGTGGTTAAGGTAAAATTTGGTCACTAATAGATGATTTTCATATGGACAATGAAAGTACAATTGTAGTAAACAATCAAATGTCTAAATACTTCTCCGTCCAACAGGGCGTCAGACAGGGAGGAGTTCTCTCAGGATTTCTATATTGTGTATAACTCCAGCAAGGATATACAAATTCAACTTTTCTTTTGATGAAATCAGACTGATAAAATGTGTTGCAAAATTATGGACTGTAACGCCTCAGTTATGCCAACAAACAAGAGTTCTCTGTAAAAAAAAAAAAAATATATAGCGATCCTTTCCAGCATGCTGTGTTGTGGTGCTCCGCCACAGAGCATATTTGATTGCGTAGTGAACAAATTTGATGTTCATTTATATGCAGAATTAACTCACATGTGTGATATGACTTCTATTTATCATTACTAGGTGGTCTTCCAACATTAACGTTGAAAGACAAACATGGTCAAAAAGAATTTATTTGTTGTACAAAATTTATCTGCGAAGCCTCTGCCTTTTTTAACAGGGCTTCCACTCAAACATAATTTTTTTCTTTCTTTTCTCCAGTATATTATTGATCTTCTTGTAAATACGTTTGTATGTACATCATGTACATATTTCCCTTTTTTATTGTCAATTTACAATTTGATGTTCCTAACATAACATGATATAACATGTAAATTATAAGTGTTGTAAAATCTCTAAAAAGAGGAAATAAAGATGGGATGAATCACAAAATTTAGTCCATTTTGCATTGATTACCAAATGCAGGCAATGAAATGTTTCTTCGATTATCATATAGACAGGGGTAGAGATCGTTGTTTTACAGTATGTACATAATCTTCCTACTTGTTTTCAATTCATTTTTATCAAAATCAAATTTTATCACATTTGTGTAGCAAATTGGTGAATTAAAAATGAAGTTTTGTGTGTGTGTGTGTGATTATAAGGAATAGTGGTACAGCTTTGAATTTGATCACGAAAATGCTGCGAATAGTAGTGCTTCGCGTAAAGTTTGTGCCAGAGTAAAATT